CAATTATGTGGCACTGGTGGTCTTCCTTCGGCCCAGACAAAATTAATGTGAGCCTGAAAAGGCCCACCTGTACAATGCCAAAGGGGGGCCAAAGATTTTATTTTATATATGGGCCATTTAGGGCAAAGATTTGGCATTACAGCAAAATGTAATCTGAATGTGGGCCTAATGTGGCCCATGTGAAAAATTATAAATTTGGCCCAAATGATGGAGGACAAGTCTGTGCCACAGTTTGCAAAAATGTAGCATAGTCATTTAAGGGTAATCTGAGTCTAAACCCAAATTGGCTCACATGTGTAAGTGCAAATGTGGGCTAGTTATCTTAAGTATGTGTGTCACTTTTGACAAATATTTGGCACAGTAAGCTCTGGGTATTGCGGCTGTTACCCTAATGTGGCCAAGAGAAAATATGGCAAATGTGGCCCAGTTATTTTAAAACATATGTGGGGCACTTTTGGCAAATAATTGGCACAGTAAACTCTGGCTAATGCAGGCGTTAGCCTGTAGTGGCCCAGAGAAGATATGGCAAATGTAGCCCAGTTATCTTAAAACATATGTGGGCCACTTCTGTTAAATTTTCGGCACAGTTAGCTCTGGCTAATGTGGCTGTGAGCCTAAAGTGGCCCAGTTATCTACAGTTTTTTCCAATTGTTTACACACATTTTCTAAAAGCAGGTCTCATATTTTTAGAACTCTACACACAAATCACAAAACACGGACACATTGGGCAAAACTCTTCAATTCTGCAAAATGCTATGTTCTATGTTCAAAACAATGTAATTTCTTATCAAAATGGTATTTTCTTTTCAAATGACACACACAAGCCATCACATGAATTGACAATTTTAAGCGTTACAGGTGAACACTGATGTGCTTAATGTAAAACACCATGACCACTTTTTCTCCATTCATCATAATGAATAGTGAAAGTAAAGGCCAAAGGAAGAAGGCTTTCTTAATCCTTGCCTTGCAGATGGTCTGTTTAACTGTTTTCTCGCTAGTGAAGCATTCAGTTTTTCCACGTACAAAGTCTGCAATGTAAATAGCAAATGCGCTATGGCGCGACGCAACCTAACTCTTAAAGAGAATGGAAGATGAGACTCTAATTGGTTTATTTGCTGGTTTGATTGATGTTCCTGTGTGGAGTTTTCATGTTCTCCCTGTTCATGGGGGTTTCCTCCAGGTGCTCTGGTTTCCCCCACAGTCCAAAGACCATTTTATGGTAATTATTAGCCCCTTTATGAAATATATATATATTTTTTGATTGTCTACGTCTGTTTTACTGTCATAATTAGGGCTGGGTATCGTTCCAAAATTTTCGATACCGATACCCTGAATTCGATACCGGTTTCGAACGATACTTTTTTCGATACTTTTATTTTAAGAAATATATTTTAACAAGATTACATAACTCATAATCTCTGAGAAACTTTGGTTTTATTTTTTCAGGATGTTTAGGAAACTATTCACAGCAGGCTTATGTAAGACCAATAAACAAAGGAACAAAAGCACAAAATGAACAAAGTGTAGTTAACACAATATATTAGTAAAAACAGTTTTAATAAAGTTCAAGCAGTTCGAAGTCAATAAATTTTAAGTATTTGTGAGGCTTACTGCTGCTTGAAGGTTTAGTTCACCCAAAAATTTAAATTCTGTCATTAATTATCTTCAAATGAAAATATTTTGGATTTAATCCAAGAGCTTTCTGATCCTCCCATAGATAAATCAATGAATAAAGTTATTTTTGTTTACTTTGAAAATAAAATTTCAAAAAGAGCAGAGACTATAACATTAATGTGAAGAAAACATGAAAGCTAAACTGTTAATGTAGCCAAGGATAAGGACATTTAAATAAGATAAGTTTAATGTGATGTAAACTTCATCATTTACTGTTAACCTTAAAGCTTTTAGTATCAACTCAGCTAGGTATTTAAAGCCATCAAAACAGTACATAACGTTACACAGTCTACGTTAGGTCCAAAAAAGGATTAATAAATTTACCCTGCACAAACCCTGTTTACACTGTTAGGTCTTGATGCCTAATTCTGATTTGTTGTAACGTGTAAACGGACAAGCAAAAAAATCTGATATATAGGCAACAAATCGGAATTGCAAATGCAAAACACGCCTAACCCTGAAACTGAAAGCGAGACATGTCTTTTAAGGGGCTGTTTCATATGGATTTAATAATCCTTCTTTCTGTTCAGTGAACGCAAACTGTCGTAGTTTATTAAAGACACAATCCCCTCAATGCACGACAGCTGCGCACCTTCAGCAACCTCATAATTCCTGCAGCACGAGGACTTTATCATTGTTTATGAGCGTCAAAAGTGGCGAATCTGTTCGGTGAGTTTTGCCATCTGTGCCACACTAGCCACTGCGAAATATGCAAAGTGTTGTTTAAGCAGAGAATGGTTCAGTCCTGATTTACCCCCACGCAGTTTATGTAATGGTATGGCCCTGAATCCTAATGTGTGTGCGCACTGTTTTAGAAAGAATAAAGTTGCTCTGTGTAGCCCGCAGTGCGTGTATTATTGGTGACAAAAAGCAAAATTTACAACACGAAGTTCGCCTAACTTTAAGGTGATTTTGAAGCGGAGGAGGTGGAAAAGGGCCGTCAGCTTGCGCTTATGTCTGTTTACTTTTCGGAGCCCCAGCCATCGCGCTTTAATCCTCAACAGTCACGGTGGACGACGCTTGTGGTGGGCACGTTGTTATGATGACTGCGCCGGCGTGATCTTCTTGCAGTCAAACAATGCAAAAATGCTTTAAAGTGTAGTGTACGCATTACAGCCTCACATTTGACAAGCTCTGAGCAAGTGGGCGTAACCGCCGTAAACTTTTGATTTTCAAGACAGCCTCGCTGCAGCCAAATTACCAGCATTTAACCCGGGCACGTTGACAGGATTATACCCTTGGGTATCGAAATTTGGTATCGAACGAAAATGATTTTTTCGATACTCGATAGTATCGAGACGATTCGGTCGGTGCTTAAAAAGTATCGAACTCGATACCCAGCCCTAGTCATAATGACTTGCCAAATTACCCTAACTTGCCTAATTAACATAGTTAAGCCTTTAAATATCATGTTAAGCTGAATACTATATTGTACTGTCATTATGGCAATTATCAAAAAAAATCTGGTATTAGAAATTTTTTTTTCCAATAAACAGAAATTATGGAAAAATATAAAATAATTTAAATTTAACAGGAGGGCAAATAATTCTGACCTCAACTATATGGGCTTTTTTTTCAGCCTGGGCTAAGGACAAAAAGGACTTTTCTCTTTTGGCCAAAGTCCTCTTTTCAGATGAAAGTAAAATTTGCATTTCATTTGGAAATCAAGGGGCTCTATTTTAACGATCTAGGTGCAAAGTCTGAAGTGCAGGGCGCAAAAGCATTTAGGTTGTGTCAGAATCCACTTTTGCTATTTTAAGCACGAAAAAATGCGCTCTGCGGCACCGAACATGGTCTAACAGGGTTGAGCTTATTCTCTTAATGAGTTATGGCTGTATTTTTAAAATAAACCAATCAGAGTCTCATCTTCCATTTCCTTTAAGAGTTAAGTTGCGTCGCGCCACAGCGCATTTGCTATTTACATTGCGGACTTTGTAAGTGGAAAAAACTGAACACTTCGCTAGTGAGAAAACAGTTAAACAGACCATCTGCAAGGCAAGGATTAAGAAAGCCTTCTTCCTTTGGCCTTTACTTTCACTTTCATGGATAAGGAAACGTGTTGGACGTAGTCACTGAAGACATCCATTAGCCTACATAATTAATTTTGTTTGTTAAGAGCAAATATTTGTTTCAAAACTATTTCTAAATTCAGTTCTAATTTACAGCCAACGAATAAATGAAAAATAATAACATTGTGTGGTCAAAACAGAGATATATATCCAAAGACAGATTTTATGACTTATATGGTCCAAAACCTGACAGGTGGTAAATCTAAGCTTGTACAAAAGCAAGTTGTCATGAATAAACTAAAAAAAGACCCTCGACATTAAAAAGGCATGAAGGTACTGGTTTTTGTATTTATGTAGAAAATAATATTTTTTTGTAATATTTTATTCCTTTAATTCTATTTTTATTTGTAAAGATATTTCTGTACATACTGCGTGTTTTAAGCAATGTTTAAGCGGGGCGCACAACTGACGCACTCTGCGCTGGACTTTAGACATGCTCTCAGCAGGAAAATCAAGATTGTGTTGGTCTGAAAATAGCAACACGTCTTGGAAACACATCTTTCGCCTTATTGCACCAGGTGTATGGTAAGGCCCAAGGAGTCTGGAGGAAGAGAGGAGAGGCACAGGATCCATGTCGCTAAAGGTCCAGTGTAAATGTTTGGGAAGCATGGCATCTGCTGCTGCTGGTCCAGTGTTTATCAGGTCCAAGGTCAGCACAGCCATCTACCCGGAAATTTTAAAGCAATTCATGTTGCCTTCTTCTGACCAGCTTTATAGAGATGCTGATTTGATTGTCCGGCAGGACTTGACATCTACCCACACTTTGTGCATGAGCGACAAGCCGTGAGAGGTGTTTTGACACTTCAGAGCCACAAGCGAAAAGCTTACTATAGAATGCAGAGAAACATTTCATGAGAAATCGAGACCCTATAGACATTCATAATAGATATTGTGATAGATAGTTTTATTATTATATATTTTTGCAAACAGGGACAAACCAATGCAGTCTGTGAGATTTAAAGGGCTTTTATATTGTAAACACGGATAAACCAGCCTCAAAATTCTGGTTGTTTAGTTACATTCATTTAATGTTTTTTTTTTTTTTCGTAATTATTGAATTTTTTAATCATCAGACAGTGATAGATGCAAATTTATCATGACAAACGTGTTAGGAATAACGGTTTCTGTGTTCTTTGATTTTGTTGTAATAACTTATGTATACACCTTTTTCCCCACACATGACTCATGTGTTGTAAATTCTGGATTGCATTTCCATTAAGCTTGGTATTTTAACATTGAATTATGTTTTTCCAGGTGAAGAGGTTATTGGGCATGACACGGCAGTTGAATATGGAGAAAGAGCCAACTTGTTGTGCCATCTGACTGATACTAAGGAAGATATAACTCTTATTATGTGGAAGAAAACAACAAAAAGAAAAACTGAGGAGGACATTTTTTTTGTCATTCACCAAGATGACAAAACAGAACATATAAATGGATTGGGGGACAGAGTTCAATTCATTGGGAGCTTTGCAGAGAGAAATGGATCAATTCAGCTGCGGGGAATGGAGTTTCTGGATGAAGGGACCTACACATGCATCTTCAACCTTTTTCCTAGTGGGCCAATAGCGACTTACATCAAGGCCTCTGTTTTTGGTAAGATGGCTTCATAATGAATCATTCTATTTTGTGGTTTCTAACAATGATGTAACTGGTACAGTTTTTTAAATAATACAATTGTTATTGCCAGACTTTCCTCCCTGTAGAAAGTTTGTGCTTAGTAGGGCTGCATGATAAATCTCAACGATGCCTCAGTGACGTTTTTACTCCAAATATAATTCAGTTTGTAATAAGTCGTTTAATGAAATAATGTGGTAAAAAAAAAGAAAAAGTGAAGCGCTACGAATACTTTCCAGATGCACTGTATGTTTTTCTTTGTCGTATGTTTGTTAATCTTGTTGAATCAATGAAAGCTGTTCCATCTTTTGTTTAAAGCTATAGGGGTATCCCATAGACTGGGATTTCCTAGGTTTCTTCGTGGGATATTTGGTTGTTTCTCGTTGGCCTTATGCCTTGTCCAGACTAGCAGCGACTTTGTAGCTGCCTGTCGCTCTGGGTGGCGAGCTGCTTCAAACGCAGGTCTGTTTTTAGGTATACAGCACCAGCACGAATACAACCGGCCTCTAAGCGAGCAGAGAGAGGATCACATCAGCTCTACTGGTGCTCCTAGTGGCTGTTACTCAAGAAAGTCACTCTTCATTTGCATGAAGTTGAAGGATTCTTAACATTGTCGCATCACTCGTCACGTGCATCTGGTCGCAAACGGTCGATGTCGCTCGCGTAAACGAAGGTCGTCAGAAGTTGTAATGAACGGTCGCTTGTCGCTTTGCTGTTGTGAATCGCTTGTAGTGTGAATGAGACTTTTGGAGGAGATTTAATACTGATCACATATTTGTAATCTTCTCACATGATGTGCAAGACAAAGTTAATAACAAATGTGATTTGTATGTTGATTTATCATTCAGCTCTAATGCTTAGTGGATTTTTAAAAAGAGAAATTGGCAAAATCTATAAATCAGGAGTGGATCAAAGACAGAATTACCAACTTTAGCCATTTTTCACATTTAATCACAAACTGAATTCATCCCTTTTTTTTAAATGTAGCTCGTCCTGCTGTTACTGTGAAAGGGGAGGAGCCTGTTATTGGTTGTTTAGAAGTGATTTTGGCATCCTGCTTTGCCTCAAATGCACGGCCTGCAGCAGAAGTGACATGGAGATTAGGAGAGCTGGAAAAATCTCTGAAGACAAGAACCAACCATACAGTGAACGCCAATGAAACCATTACAGTTGTATCCTACCTACTAGGTGTCCCATTCAAACATCTACACAAGAAGAACATCCAGTGTGTGGTAAAACACAACAGCCTGACAGAACACCTTGTACTGAACTACACAATAGACATCCATTGTAAGTAAACAGCATTAAGTAAACATTATGAAGGCTTCAGTATACTTCAAACAAAGTTTGTTTGTTTTTTTGTTTTTTGTTTGAGGGCAAAAGTAAGTTTGAAAAGGCTAAGTGACAGTTTTCTACACTCCAACACCCTTACAACCCCCTCTCCACTGATTGGTCAACCAAACGTTAAACCGTGCTGTCATCAGCTGTTTGACAGTTTTGGAACGTTTGCTTTCCATAACTAGAAAAGTGATTGATTTTTGTATTATTATGAAAATCATTTCAGTAATGTCATTGATGCACAAGTCTCTGTAGTTGTTTATCTTATGTAATTTATTAAAACATTAGTGTGTATCTTTTGCATATTCTGAAATATGCCAGATAAACTTGAAAGTTAAAAGTGCTGTTGTTTAAGTGGTACGAAGTGCTCATTTTAGATGCAATTTTGCAAAACATTATTACATGAAATGGCCATGAAATTAAAATTGCGTATCTCATTCTTTGACCTTCCTTCTTAAACTCTGCAAATGATCTCAACTAGAACAACATGTCATTACAGGTACAAAACATTTACATAACTAGAAAAAAGAATGTAGCATGCTCAACCTTTAATAATGTTTAATAGTAAAGTTTAATAGCCATTATAACATATTAATTAGAAAGTGCTTTGTCAGCAAAGAACATATAAAATCCCTAAAATAACGTTTGGAATGATAAAGGCAGAGAGATTAAAAGTGTTTTAATTTATTAGTGTGTTTATTGACATCAGTCAAATCAAATGTCAGCTTGCTTCTGATTAGTTTCTGATTTTTCCTCCTGATTCTCTAACAGAATAATATGTAATTTGTGTTGCAGATGTGAAAAAAATATCTGCATCTGAAGTTGAATAAGATTTGATAAATGCATTTACACATTTAACAATTAATATGGCAAAATTTAATGGTATTTGATCCAAACATTCTATATTGGATTCTGAAGATGAAATAGCCAGTAGTTGCCAGCAAGTAATTGTATTAATAAACAAGTCAATAATATGACATAAGTTCATCATAGTCAATATTACTGTTTTTGACATTACTCAGCATATTGAAGTCTTTTCTGCTGCATATATTACACTTAAGTCACTGCATTTACACTGCTGGTCACTGCAGATACATTTACACCACACTGTGCAATGTGACATGTGTAAATAAAGCAAGTGATATGCATAAGATGTAGTAGACCAATGGATAATGGGTTAACACATACAAAGTATGGCATAAAATATTAATTTAAGGCAAGCAAATTGCCGAATTTATACTTAAACAGAAGTCCATAAATTAAGGCACAAACTGAGAAACAGCTGATGATGGTATGGTATGGATTGGTCAACCAATCAGAGGAGAGGCGTGTGTAATTCCTGACACACAGAGAACCAATTGTAAAGCTGTTTATTAATTTTATGTGTACAATTTTTTTCAATGTTTTTAAGAAGGTTCAAATTTGGCACAAAAGAACCGTTTATTAGTTTTCCCGTTTTGAAAACAAAAATGAAAAAATCAGTTATACACAGGTACATGGACACAGAACACACCCACGATTACACAGTAATCACAGACCGATAATGGCTCGATGGAGTTTGGGATCCACAATAAACTCCCTCAAAAGATTTCTTTGGTTGTTAAAACAAATTCCAAAAAAAAATTATGTAGTTTCAGATCATTAGGAGATGAAGGTAATATCAAAGACAAAAATTGCCTACTTATGCTTTTTTGGTGGAACAGTAACTGAGTAGCCTAATTGCTATAATATAGGATTGAAGGATTGACGTTAGCTTTAGTATATGAGTCACATGTTTATCCAGTATCTGTTCTGATTGTGTGAATTCATTTATAGTAGGGTGAACATATGTCTTAATTTTCACTGAAATGACCTTTTTTAGAACAAAAAAATGCATCAGGCTGGGATTTTTAGAGCTCCTTAAATGTTCAGCATTTAGCTTTTGATTTGTGCAGTCGTCATTAATTTTATGCATTTTTGCGTTTTTTTTACCTTTAACTTCATTTCAAGCCTTGATTGGTCATGCACACATTGGCCAATGCATCAAAATCCCTCTGCAGAATGGCAACTGCTGTCAGATGGCTCTTGATTAGCGTAAAAGGGAATTAGTAGATTTTTAAATTTAACTGATATTTTGTTTTACATTAACCTGGTGAAAAGTAACAGTCATGTAAAAGGTGTTTCTTATTAAATAAAAAACTTATGAAATTATTATTTTGTTATTCTGTTGTTGAGAACCAAAAGTTTAAAGTGTGTTATAACTTTGTGTTAAAGTTCACCAACATATTTTCATTGCTGTAAAGAAAATTACAACCACCCTCAACATCCCCCATCCTGTCCTCGTTTTTTAAATTCAAATATGGTAGCCCTAATTTAGAGGAAGTTTTATCAAACTGGCTCATATCAGTAAGCTCATACATTTCCTCTCTTAAAATGATTAATTTATATCAAAATTGAATTTATTCCCAGAGTTGAAAAATTATGACTTAGCAAAGTGTTTGTCCTCCATTTCAGTTCAAACCTAATCAAATGTTTTTATTTCACAAACAGTGGATTGTCTTAATGAATTTTTGATACTTATTTGTTTTATTAGATCCTCCTGAGTCAGTAATTATAATCCCTGATAGTTCAACAGATGTCAACGAGTTCAGATGTATAGTGGACAGTAACCCTCAACCAACTCTAAAGGGCTACAACTGGACAAGGTAATAAAAATGTTCAACTAGATTCAGTGATTTTTAGTACCTGCAATATTTATTTGCTTTACTCTTGATTACGAATGCTGCATTTGCATTTTAATCAGTTTACTATAAATTGACAGGAAATTCAGACAGATAGTTAATAAGTCATTTAAAACTATTAAACTATTTCTTTTATTTTTTTTAAAACCTGCACTAGGGCGATGAGTTGCTTTTGCATGTCTGTCATGGGCACAGACTCCAGGACTTGATTACAATACTGGGAAAAAAAAATGTAAAACAGCTTAGGAAGCATGAAAATGAATGATAAGACAGTCATACTTCAACACTGTTTAGAAGTCAATTGACTCCTTTCACAGCAAGTTATGCCATTGGCTAAACATTACAAGGTCAGAAAAATTGCTAAGGAGAATTTTTTTACATTTTCCAGTACTGGGTTGCAGCTGGAAGGGCATCTGCTGTGTAAAATATATGCTGGATAAGTAGGTGGTTCATTCCACTGTGGCGATCCCTGATGAATAAAGGGACTAAGCGGAAGGAAAATGTATGAATGATTGAATCTTTCACAATGAGATTGTAACATTTGTTTTCTTATTACTTACTGTACGTAATTCTCCATATCATTTGTTAATGGTTGGATTCATAGATGGCTGAAATTACCACTGAATATCTATTGTACTCTTACATGATTGCAGAACATTTCCATTTATGATGGTTATCTCTCTACTTCCACAGAGTCAACAAAAGTAGTCAATTTTTTGAAGGAAACAGGCTTCCTGTACCAAACATGACTCCGGAGTTGAATGGCTTATACATCTGTAATGCTTCAAACAAATATGGAAGTGCATTAGGTTCACTGTATGTGAATGTTCATGCTGGTAAGAGTACTTTTGTTTTTAATGTTTATGATTTATACGCCAAAATAGGTGCAGTTAAAATATATATATATTTTTTTAACGTTCTCTAGTTGTTGATGTGCTCCTAAAAGAAGATTAAAGATTTCCACACAATTTTGTGTCAATATTCAAAACATTACTACCTTCTATTTCTGGTAATGACAGCATTTGAAATTTTAAAAGGTGGAAATCTGAAGCTTTTTAATAAAATCTAAGAGAATTGTTTTTAAACATAAGATAATTTCTTTTTTAGAAACATTTATTAAGTACTTAATTTGCCAGAGAACCTCTGCATAGTCAGTAATCTATTCATTTTGCTATCTAGTTGGTTGTTATATCTAATGTAAAAAAAAGCCCTTACTGTGCCAAATCCAGCCCAGTTTTAAATGATGACTTCTTTCAGTTTCTTTCAGTCTTCTTTTGTCAGTTAATTAATTTTCTCCTTAAAAATATTCAGCAGGGTTGGACTGGCACTTACTGTACTAAAGGCATATTAAGATTAGTTATAACACATAATTCAATCCATCAAGCACTTTTTTGTGTCTCTATAGCAATGTCTCTATAAAATGTATCTTTATTTATTTATTTTTTTTACTTGGTCACTCAGGGCTCTATTTTGACAATCCAGGTGCAAAGTCCAAAGCGCAGGGCACAAAAGCATTAAGGGAGTGTCAGAATCCACTTTTTGCTAATTTAACGACAGAAAAATCTGCTTTGCGCTGTGGCGCATGGTCTAACAGGATTGAGCTTATTCTCTTAATGAGTTATAGGTGTGATTTGAGAATAAACCAATCAGAGTCTCATCTCTCATTCCCTTTAGGAGTCAGTTGCGTCATGCCATAGCGCATTTGCTATTTACATGACGGACTTTGTAAATGGAAAAACTGAATGCTTCACTGTGAGAAAACAGTTAAACAGACCATCTGCAGCACTAGAATGAGCCTTATCATTATTTACATTAACTTTCACTCTCTTTAGTGGATAAGGAAACGTGTTGTACGCACAGACATCCATTAGACTATATGATTAATTTAGTTTGTTTAGCACAGATTTGTTTCAAAACTATTTCTAAATTCAGTTCTAATTTCCAGCAAACAAATAAATGAACAATAATAACAAAGTGTGGTTAAAAAACTTTATATTTAAAAGTTAAAAAGTTATATTCAAATACACATGCTGTGCTACATTTGGTCCAAAACCTGATAGGTGGGCAAGTCTAAGCTTGTTTTTAATAAAACAAATATAAATATGATTATAAAAAATAATACTACTAATAATACTACTACTTATATTAACATTATACAAGAGCAACTTGTTATGAATAAACTGAAAAAGCTTCCCGAGATGAAGAATTCATGAAAGCTGTGAATATATTACAAATAATTTTTGTAATATTTTATTGCTTTAATTCTGTTTCATTTGATATTTGACTATTGCTGTACATTGTTTTAAACAATATTTAAGCAAGGCACACAACTAACGCTCTCTGCGCTAGACTTTAGACCTCCTCTCAGCTGGTCTATTGCACAGTCTATTTTTAGATCCTCAAAATAGCAATGTGCCACAACACACCTCCTTTTTTACACCAGAACGCCTATGTGCACACATATGAGCCTAATGCATTTGCTATTTAAACAGCGCAGTGCAAAACATCAAAATAACTCTTGTGCCAAGCTGAAACTAGCAAACAACAATTGCGTCACGCATTGCAATTGCATGTTGCATGTTGCAATTTTCTTATTGTCTCCAAGGGGTAACCGGACACAAAATGTTCAGTTACATGAAGTTAATGTTTATTAATTTCTTTTGGACATTTCACATTTTTGTGTGGTTCATAACCTATCAAAGCCACTACATAAGTCAAATTCTATTCCATAAAAATAAATTTTTTATTCTGAAAAAAAGAATATGCGTGAGATTCGGCGTACGCTGTGTTTCATACATCTGAATTTTTTTCTGCGTACGCACAATGTTTTAGTATGATTTCTTCGCAAGTCTTCGTACATGAGGCCCCCATATTCTTTTGTAGATCAGAATGAACGTGAAACTGAGCGCAACATGCACGAGCACAAAACCCCTCCCTGCCTCCTCCCTCGTATGAATATGCTAATGACTCTACTTTGGCAAAACCCAACGAAAAAGCAATGGCAAAAGCAAGCAAACAGAATGGAATTGAAGGTGCTGCTTTCGGAGGTAGACCGGAGGAAAACGGTGTTATTTGCAAGTTTGTCCTCCGGAATTAACAACAAAAGAAAATAGAGTGGGAGAGTTTAGCTGATGCGGTTAACAGTTGGGTCTGAACATCGCACTGTGGAGTTAAAAGAGAAACCGTGTGATTTATAGATGTATAAGGTTATAACACCTTTAATAATTTCAGTGGCGCAGCTCGTAAAACGCATGTCAACATGTTTTGACACGTTCGAGCATAAACTCGGTTCGAATCCAGCGTCTGATGAACTAACTACATATCAGATTTTGCCAACTATTTATCACAAGAAAGACAAGTAGGAATCATTAATAAGTTTGTGTATCATATTTTATTTGCACATTTATTGAATGGAAATGTTTCTGATTCACGCATGCAAATTCATCTTCAGGTGGCGCCTTTATAGCAATGTGCGTGCGGTAGATCGCTTCCATTACAATGGGAAAACAGGCGACCGCTGCAAATTGCGCTTTAATGTTTGGCTAGTCAACTGTATGGTATGGAAACCTTATAGACCTGCTAGATGAACCCGTCTCATACTGCTGCCATTGCACGCCTCAGACACTTTGTAGAGTGTAATTTAACACAACTGCCTCTAGGAGTCGCCAATGGAAATAAAACAGACACGCACAAAAATTGTGCGTACGCCAGCCATAAAGCTGCCGTGAAGCTGCGCACATTCCCACGTTCAGTTCATCGTTAGTAAATCCAAACGTGAGCGATACTGAGCGCGAAACCTGGCGTACGCAAAGTTTTTGTGCGTACGCAGCGTTGATACATGAGGCCCCAGGTCTTCAGTCACCCAACACTATCACTGCCTCCACTGTGATATGAGCACAGAAACTTAGGTACGTCCAAGTTCAAACTGCAGCATAGACAACAAATTGCTCATTACAGGAACAAAGTTTAATTGACAACTTGATGGACGCATTTAATCCCAACAACATAAAAACATAAAATGTTCTGAAATGTAAAATGGCCTGTCCTCTAGTCTAAGCTACAGGCGCTTTAAAATATGATTTAACAGAATTCAAAATTCAGTTTATTTAATTTAGAACAGTTTCTCAACTAGTGGGTTACAACACAAATGTGGGACACAAAAGCATTCTCAGAGGGTCATGGAGTGTTTTTGTGATGCATGACTTTAGTTCTGAAATGTGTGTGAAAGCTGGTGTCTGTAACGCCTGGGTTCACAACAGAAAGGCTCTGGATCGCAGGATTATCAAAACATGTAGATTTATTGATAACACATACACAGAGGAACACAGAAAGAACATGGGGTAAAACCAGACATCAATGTAGACAGAATACCAGACAAGGCCTGAATGAAACTAAGGGGTATAAATACACAAGAACATAATGACAATAATTACACACGGGGGAAGGTAATGAACATAATGACATGACGGGTACTAGAACAAAGGTGCACATAGGGATGGTCACAGGATGAAAACAAACACACAAGACTTACTTTCTTAAGAAAGAGAGGGTGTTGCAAGTTTCTAAAAAATGTTCAGTTTTTTTTTTTTTTTTTTTTTTTAAGCAGAAATCAGTAAAACGCAAAAGTTTCATTTTAAGGACACGACACACAACAGGTGCTCACTGACACACAGAATCCTGCCTTTTTCATGAGCCGGGAGCTTTGCAGTAGACACTACTGAATATAAAATTGCATTATATTTTTGTAAACACCAGCTGCATTGGCTTTGACTGATTACCGAAGACAGAGGTGGAGAGGCCATTGGGAGATCATATCAATCAATCAATCAATCAATACTGACTAAGACTGTGCTAAAGTGATCATTTACAAATTTGGCATTTAATTTATGAGGATGGAGAAAAATCAGACTGGTGGAGCAAAGAGGGAAGCAGCAGCATTAGCAGCCAAATATGCAATCCATATGCAATATGGGGCACGTTTTCTCATTCAAGGCCCATTTCTGTCAATGTTCTTTTCATGTATTTCCGTGACAGAGAGATGTCAGTCAGCTTGTTGTTGTGCATAATAAATCAGCATGATATCTTCTGACCTGGGGAAAAAAGCAAAAATAAAAAAACAAAAGCCATTGCTTCTACATCAATCTAACACAGCTTTTTTAATGGATTTTGTTTTACCTGGTTTCTGGAACCATCCTTCCCCCATCTGTTAGGTCTTTCGCTGTGAATACTGTAGCCTAGTTTATTCTTCACCACTAATATTTGCTAGCAGTAGTGCCCCTATAACGTTACTGTCATCACATAAAAAATATACAATAAATTGTTTTTCAGGCAATACTAGCTAGGCATTAGCCTGCATAAAATTTTGATGGTATGATAACCTTGAATGTTTCCTCTTCAGGTGTTCATGCATCATGCTTTTGCTGCTGTACTATGATAATAGCATTTCTGAGGTGAGTCAGGTGACTGAGACTGAAATATAAGAGATAAAAAAAGGCTAACAAAAAGTTGATTAAAAAAATTATGTCACTGGTAGTTCTCAAACCAGTTGAGAACCACTGATTGAGAAGCTTTTAAAAGGAAAAGTATACAGTAAATCCATGCAGCTGGAAGGGCATCTATCGAATAAAAAAATATATGCCAGAGTCATTGGTAGTTAATTTTGCAGTAGTCCCTGGTAAATAAAAAATAATCAGGGATAAATCAGGGACTAAGCTGAAGGTTAGTGAGTATAAAACCATTCTACCTTTAGTCTTTTTTTTAATGAAGGAATGATCTTTCTGCTGAATGAGGTTCACCTAGTATCTTTTTAATAAGGAATTACTCGGGCTCCTGGCTGGCTCACTAAACTATGGTAGAACACTTCTGACCCAACTTAAGTGAGGTGTCTTCTAATGACACATCCCCCAACTTTTGCTGAGTCGGATATTACTCTAGTCTAGACATTACCTTTGATTGGAAATGTCATATTGGCTGTAATTAAAAAATATTCAAAAGGATTCTCTCCAAACAAACAGAATACAGAAAAGATATAGGATGGGTGCATTACATGGCATGACAAACCAATGTGATGGATTTTTCCATGTGTATTTCTCCATTACTAGGCATTTACACTTTTTAATTACAGCAGCCCAAGTCATGGGGTTGTCATCAGATTATCATCTTCGCTCATTTCCACTTTGCTGTTACACAATTTAACTTTTAACCGTTGTTGACCAATTGACATTTTGGTAGTTCCTTATTTTACAATTCTATTCTTTATGTATTGTAGGTCTACTTATCATAGTCATTTCAGAAAATGCTAACTTGGTATACTATCCCTAAATGTACCCTGATGTTTTTTTAACCTGTTATTTTCTTATGCAAGTATGCTGCAAACATATTAAAAACACTGTGAACTACAGTGCAACCACCAAACTTTTTTTAACCAACTCAATCAATTCTTCTTTTCTAGAACCAAGCAGTGTCTGTTGGGTTCTCTTCGTTTTACTCATCATTGTAGGTCTTGCAGTTACTGTTGGTGCGATTTACAAACTCAAGCCGTAAGTTTTAACACTTCATTCGTTTCACTGTGACAAGAGGGTGTGATGCATTTCTATTTCAGGGTTGTTTGTTGGTTTATACATTGCACAAAGCTTGCTTTACACATTTGCATTTTGGAATTAAAAGCCATTAAAACCTTTTTAGGGTTGTTATCTTGAAAAGCTATAAACAATACACATATATTAAATATAATTTTCAACTAAACTGAAAATATGGGGTTTAAATCTAAAAATAAATTTTAGTTTTATATTCATAGAAGCATGTAAAATCTGTCTGTATAAAAGGTTCATTATTTATAAACAATACTGTATATTAGATTCACTCAAATCTGACTCTGGAAATGTGTGTGTCAGAGAAAGACATATTGAAGGTGTTCAGTGTTTGCAGGCTCAAGAAATAGGGTTAAGATGGAATGGAAGCATGGCGGCGCCTTCGCTGGCTGCGGCTGCATCGGCTCAGAACAAGACAAAAAATAGCGTCAGAGATAGTGTTAGAATGAGTAAAACGAAACTGATATATGACAGGCAGAATCTGTTGCTACTAGAATCTGCCAGCAAACACTGCTGGTTTGATCCGAACATTATAGAAACACTAAAACACTACGGACTACTGAGTTGTCGCGAAGAGGCCCGCTGAGTACAGGAGACATCTAATGACTCCACCCGGACGAGGTGGCGTCGGCGGCGGTGTATGCGCAAGCAGAAACGCAGGGTTCGCGGAGGAGCAGCAGCTAGGCTAAGAGCTTTTCCCTGCCGAACACCGCTGCCTTCACTGATGGTGGCAAATGTCCGATCATTGGAAAACAAACTGGACAACCTCAGACTCGAGTTAACATCGACACGGGAGGTGAGAGACTGTTGTGCACTAGTTCTTAGCGAGACGTGGTTAAACGATTCCATTTCGGATGAAGCGATAAGCCTAACGGGGCTAACTGTATTTCGGGCTGATAGAAACAGCACACTCAGCGGGAAATCCCGAGGTGGTGGTCTCTGCATCTATGTTAATAATAGATGGTGCAAGGATGTAAATATGATCTACTCATACTGTTCGCCTGACATTGAGGTTTTGACAGTAAAGTGCCGCCCTTTATATCTTCCGAGAGAATTCTCCGTTGTTTTTATTATTGCTGTATATATCCCTCCAGATGCAGATACAAAACAAGCCCTTGATGTATTATACCATTTTATAAACAGACTTCATACTTCTCATCCAGAAGGAGTAATCATTGCTGCGGGTGATTTCAACCAGGCAAACATGAAGAAAGTGCCCCCCCACTTTTTTCAATACGTACATTTTGCCACAAGAGGTATGAATGTATTGGATCATGTGTACACAAACATTAAACTGGCATACAAAGCAGTTCCTCGCCCCCATCTTGGCTCATCAGATCACCTTTCTGTTATGTTAATACCAACATACAATGCCCGTCTCACAAGTACCAAGCCCTCTATAAAACAAGTGAGAATTTGGCCAGAGGGAGCTATGTCTGAATTACAGGACTGCTTTGATTGCACAGACTGGACTGTGTTCAGAGAGGCCTCCACAAATGGTCAAGGCACAGATATTAATGAATATGCTGATGCTGTATCCAGTTATATTTTTAAGTTTATGGAGAATGTCTGTGTCACTAAGAACATTAAAGTCAGAGCAAATGAAAAACCCTGGATGACTGCAGAGGTGCGGGCTTTGCTAAAAACAAGAAACTCTGCTTTTAAGTGTGGGGATGCAGCTGTCCTTAGGTCTGCTCGGGCCAATCTGAATAGGGCAATCAGAGTGGCAAAAAGAGCCCATGGAAATATGATTAAAGAATACTTCCAGGACCACAAAGACACTAGAAGTTTATGGCAGGGTATTCAGTCTGTTACAGACTATAAAAGCATCTCACTGTCCTGTGAAAATAACATTGACTTTCTTAATGATCTTAACAACTACTTTGGAAGGTTTGATGCTGTTAATAATACACCAGCAGTGAAGGCCACATTGCAGCATGACGAGCAGGTGCTAAGCTTTGATATCACTGATGTCCGCAAGATCCTAAAGAAAGTAAACGCTGGTAAGGCGGCAGGGCCTGACAAAATACCAGGCAGAGTACTCAAGGGGTGTGCAGAACAACTTGCGCCTGTACTGACGGACATATTTAATATCTCTATGCATCAAGCTGTTGTGCCATCATGTTACAAAACATCTGCTATCATTCCAGTGCCAAAAAAACCTTCAGTCACTTCTTTAAATGACTATCGGCCGATAGCTTTAACTTCACTGATAATGAAATGCTTTGAGAAACTGGTAAAAAGTCATATCACCTCCATCCTTCCTACTTCACTTGATCCACTTCAGTTTGCCTATCGGCCAAACAGGTCTACTGATGATGCTATATCCACTGCACTGCATCTGAGTCTTGAACACTTGGAGGGTAGAAACACATCGGTACGGATGCTGTTTGTTGATTTTAGCTCTGCTTTTAATACTATTATTCCTCAGCACCTGGTCAATAAATTAGCATCTCTAGGTCTGAATACACCTCTTCGTAACTGGATTCTTGACTTTCTGACTAATAGGCCACAGTTTGTGCGAGTGGAGGGTATTTCGTCATCTACCACTCTGCTCAATACAGGCTCCCCTCAGTGGTGCGTCTTGAGTCCACTGCTATACACTCTGATGACCCATGATTGTTGTGCAAAACTTAGCACTAATCACATTATTAAATATGCTGATGACACCACAATAGTGGGTCTCATCCAGGATAATGATGAGAGGAACTACAGGGAGGAAGTAAAGCTCTTCACAAAGTGGTGCTGGGAAAACAATTTAGTTCTGAATGTTGATAAAACTAAGGAGTTGGTGATCGACTTCAGGAAGAAACGCCCCACTTATTCCCCTGTATATATTAATAACACTGCTGTGGAGACTGTACAGCAGATAAAATTCCTGGGGGTCCATGTTACTAATAACCTGACTTGGTCTCTCCATACCACTTGTCTTGCGAAGAAAGCGCACCAGCGACTGCACTTTCTGAGAAGGTTGAAAAGAGCACATCTCAGCCAATCAATCTTCACAACTTTTTACAGAGGAGCTGTTGAGAGTGTTCTTACAAATGGCATCTCCCTTTGGTATGAGAATAGCAGTGTGTCTGATAAGAACACCATTAAGAGGATCATAAAGTGAGCTGAAAGGTCTGTTGGAGTCAAAATGACATCTATCGAGGAACTTTACCAACGCCGTTGTCTGTCTAGGGCAAATAATATTTTAGGGGATCCAACCCACCCTGGTCATAGCCTGCTCTCACTCATGCCATCAGGCAGGCGTTACAGAAGTCTGAGGAGCAAATCAGTGCGGTTTTGAGACAGTTTTTATTCTGTCATTAGAAGACTTTCAAATGATATCATTTCTTAAGCATTGTTGAAAGCTAGTGTTAAATAATAAATAAATTTGTTAAACTAGCATAAATTGTTAATATTACAACAAATGGTGAAATAGGTATTTAAGTATTGTTATTCTCTTCAGAGATTTTAAAAAAAATGGGTTATATCTTATATAATTATATTTTTTATATTTTATGGAATTATAAAAGCTTATTTATCATGTTAGGATTTTATAGTGTTTTTATAGTGATGTTTTTTATGTTCTTGTTGGATCTGTTGCAACGTAATTTCGTTCTGCATTACAATTCTATTGTGATGATTTGAATGACATAAATAAAGGAAACTGACTGTAAACTGAAACTGAAGATCCACTGAGATATTGGCTGTAAACAAACTTTTTTTTTTCTCTTCATTTCAGGGGATGGATTCCAGTACCATCGTTTAACACTGAAAGAGACCAGGTGTGCTTTTAACAATATCTTGTCTGCTTCTTTATATTTTTATCACATTTATCTATCTATTTATCATATCTATTTGCATTTTGTGCTTGGTAAAAATAAAATTCTTGTCAAAAAAAGTCTCGATCACACTTTACACAATGGCCACATTCTTAATCTTAAACAATGCATTTACAGGCATGAACAAACAATAAACAATACATTTATCAAAAAATTTATTAATGTAAGTAAACAAAAATACAGTTGTTCATTGTTAGTTCTTGTTACTAAGTGAATGAACTAATGCTCAGCGTTGGATTTTAATAATGCATTAATAAATTAATTATGATTAATAGATGATGCACAAGCATTGTTCATTGTTTGTTCATGTTAGTAAATACATTAACTATGCTCACGAAGGCTGTATTTATTTGATATATGCTGTAAGAATACAACAAAAACATGCACTCACAATTTTTCCTTTCTTTATAAGGATTCAACACAGCCAAGAGACTCACCAGTTGATCTGTCACCTGTTCAGGCAGATGCTCCACCGCAATCCAACCCAGAGAGTCCACCAAGGTAAAAACAGTAACTGTAAAATATATTATAACAATTTAAAATAGCTGTGATCTATTCGAAAATATTTTAAGTGTTTTTTCAGACATTTATATCATTTGCTTTGCTCAGAAACAGTGACTTGAATCCATTTTCTTGTTGGTTTTATTTGCTTTCTCTTTTTTTTTTTTTAAATAGGTCTGTTTGCCTTAATGTCGGTGCTAATATCAGTTACCGTGGCTTAATTTGTAGCTGTCTTGACACATGTGCATGTAGTTACAGTGTATGAACTGTCAATTCCATTCTAACTGCATGTAGTTACAGTGTATGAGCTGTCAATTCCATCCTAACTGATCAATACTTTAGAATTAATGATTATGTAAAACTTTTATATATACATTTAAGAGCAGCGATCAAGTCTTCATTGGAAGAGCATTCCTGAAATACACAGATAGGAGAATTATTCACCATTTCAAGTACTGTAGGGATGCAAAATGTATCAAAAGAATATTATTATTGGGATGATAGCATGCCATATCTGTATCGCAGAGAGGTATGATTAAAATAAAATACATTTATGTGGCAAACATAGGTGTTGCATACAAAGGTTTCTCCAAATTTTACATAAATAAACACATCTCCTCATGTAGAGGAGTCAGTTAAGTTGTTGAATGTAGCCTGTGAAATGTTGGTCCATTCCACTTTAATGGCTGTGTAATATGGCTGGATATTGGCAGGAACTGGATCATGCTGTCGTGTATGCTGATCCAGAGCTTCTCAAACATGCTCAGTGGGTGACATGTCCTGCAGTCAACTTGTCAATTGCACATAAAATTTGTGACAAAACTTTCCACATCTGGGGCTTGCGTTGACACTTAAAACTTCACATTTTAGAGTGAATTTCATTGTGTTTTTATTGTGGCCAGCCTAAGCCACACCTGTGCAATAATCATATCTAATCAATATCTGCCACACCTTTAAAGTGAATGTATTATCTGGATTAAGAAGTGATCAGTAACAAAGATTTAGACGATATTTGAGAAAAATAAGTATTTTATTATATTTTTATTATTCTGACTTGATAGCCAATGAAGCTGGCATGACATTAAATAAAAGATACAATACAAAACCATAATGCATCATGGCTGAATAATTTCCTAAATAAATAAGTTAATAATGCTTTTAAATGCATGGTAAATAGTAACAATTTTAATTCTTAAACTTTTCCTACAGTGAGGGCTCTGCAGAAGAAAGAAGGACAGCTGAGATTTAACTACGGTAATCCCAAACCTATAAATTGAAATTGCGTGTGTTTGTGTGTAGATGTAAACCAGTAGTGATGGCTTGTTTTTTCAGAAGACTAGAGAGCTACATCAGTGCTTGATCCCAAACTAGATGTCCCATATTCCTAGTGGTTAATTTGTTTGTTTACTGAGAAGAATTAAACTGATTTGGGGAACATGTTTATGAAAGACGTTTTTAGGGATGGATAAGTGTAGGATGCTTCACCTAGATAACATACAATTTAATTTATCTTTATTTCTATAGTGATTTGACAATGTAGATTGTGTCCAACATAAATAAAAATCCTAAACTTAGCAGTGTAAAATGCCTAAACAGTTCTAATTAAATTAAAACATTCAGTTTACATGTCACTTTTGAAGTTCAGTCAGATCAGTGTTTTGCAAGGGACTCAAAAACATGAAGGGGAATCACATACTGCAGATTACACAAAAGACATTTAATGTGTTGGTAACTACCAGTAAGGTGCTGAGTTATGCAGTATTATATTTCAAGCCTGAAACAATACCTTTTTAAAAAGAAAGGCTTTTTATCAAACATTGTGTTCAGCTTCTCTTGCCGGAGAATAATTTCCTATGTCAGCAGCTGTCAGGTAAAGATAACAAATGAGGGTGTAGAGTATTGGGGTTAATGGGGTTGTCTGTTTGCGTCTGTGGCCAAGATTGTAGAACAGGAACAATAGCAGCCGGTTGCTTTTGGCAAACTGAAAAAACTGTCATTCTTCTCTTTTCTTTTTTTGTTCTGGTATTACTTTGCTTCTCTTTTTGCTATAGTTAGTTAGTGTGTGTGTGTGTGTGTGTGTGTGTGTGTGTGTGTGTGTGTGTGTGTACAGTTAAAGTCAGAATTAAATATGTATATTTGTAATATTTCCCAAATGATGTTTAACAGAGCAAGAAAGTTTTAACAGTATGTATAATATAATTTTATTATAATTTTTGTATATAATTTTTTAAAGCCATTTTAAGGACAAAATTATAAGTCCCTTTAAGCTATTTTTTTTATACAGAACAAACCATCATTATACAATAACTTGCCTAATTACCCTAACCTGCCTAGTTAAGCCTTTAACTCACTATGGGAAACGCCTCAGGCGTGACAGACTATGGAAGCACCAATTACACCACGTCCGTCTGAGGACGGACAAATCACAGCTTGCGATTAGGAGCCCACCCTCTCCTTTATAATCCGCTGTGATTCCCCGAATCGGCATTCGAAGCACGCTCTTGAAGGAGCCCTAGTGCTCTGGATAGTGCTTATGACCTCCCGTGGAAGCCCGAGCGCATTTAATTTAACCCTTCTTGGGCCAGACCCAAAGGTTAATTTGGTTCTGGTTGGGGGTGAAATATCTGTGCCCCCGCTTGTGACAGCAGATCCCATCGCAGCGGGAGCAGCCAGGGCTCTCCCTGCAGAAGCTCGGTGATCTCTGCCAAGCACAGCCTGCCCGGCCAACGGGGGGCTATTAGAAGGAGAGACAACCCACTTTCTCTTACTCTGTCCAGGGTGGGAGAATTTAGGCTCAACGGTGGGAATGCATACAGCAGCACGTTTGGCCACGGGTGCACCAGCGCATCCATTCCCAACGGCGCATCCTCGTCCTAAAGAGAGAAATACAGCGGACATTTTGCTGCATTTGCCCGCGAGGTGAAGAGATCTACGGCAGCCTTGCCGTACATCTCCCAAATTTGATTCACAACCTGCGGGTGGAGAACCCATTCTCCGTACGTCGGGTTGCCCCTCATCAGAAGATCCGCCCACACATTTCTGACTCCTGGGACGTGCGTCGCGCGCAGTGAGCTCAAGTGAGCGGCGCTGCAGACAATCAGCTTGCGCACTAGATTGTGCTGCTGCAACGATCGCGTTCCCCCTTGGCGGATGATGTGAGCCACCACCGTTGTGTTGTCCTTCCTGACTAAAACATGAAAACCCTCCCTAAATGGGAGGAAATGTTTTAAAGCCAGAAAAACTGCCATCATCTCCAACATGTTTATGTGAAGCTCACGCAGTCAGTGTGTCCAACGACCATTTACCGATCTGCCTTGAAATACGGCTCCCCATCCCGTTAGGGTTGTGTCCGTAGTGACAACTTTTCTCAGAGACACGCTCCCTTAGCGGAGCCCCTGATCGGAATATTCAGGGGTTTTTCCAGTGGTGGAGAGCCATCACACACTCCGTGGATATCTGCACACTGCGCGCGAGGTCCCTGCGAGGGAACAGGCGCTTTGCGGTAATCCAATGCTGAAAATCTCTCATCTTTAATAAACCCAGCGGGATCACAGACAGAGAGTAAGCCATCATGCCCATCAGACAGAGACAGGTTCTGAACGAGACCAGGTTTCCTTTGCGAAAATGGGTCAGGCATAGACCGAACGCCTTCTCTCCAAAAGCATGGCGCGGTATGTTACCAAGTTTAGACGCAGGCCCAGATACTCTCCTGGGACAGAATCAGCTGGCTTTTGGCGTTGTTGATTCTGAATCCCAGCTTTGTGAGATGAGACGAAAGAGTCTCTGCGTGTGCGAGATCGAGGCAAACCAAACACCCCAGCGGATCGAACGAGTGAGAGCCCCTACTGTGAGCATCTTGAATTTTTACTTCCTTAAGTGCTTGTTTAAAGCACGCAGGTCCAGTATTGGGCGCAGACTCCCATCTTTCTTTTGAATTGTAAAGTAACGTGAGTAAAAGCCTGTCTGAGTTTCCTCCACTGAAACTTGTCTTATAGCTTCCTTTTCCATTAGGGAGGATATCTCTGCCTCCAGCACCTGAGCCGAATCCTCGTTTGCCACAGATGTTATAATCCCTTTGAAAGGAGGGGGTTTTCCAGCAAACTGAAGCCTGTAATCCCTGGTTACAGTTGCGAGGACCCACGGGTGCGGAGAACACTCTATCCAGGCCTCCGGGTGAAGAGACAGAGGCTGCTGCCGAACCGGCCCCACTGGTGGAGCGCTGGTGGCCTCTTGTGGCCAGAGAGAAGTTTGGCCAGGATCTGTTTGGCTCAGAGACTGGCCCGTCTCTCGGCTTTGAGCTTTCGCTTTTCTCTGTGTTTTTGGCTTTCTGCGCCCTCCTAATTGAGCCTGGATGCAACTGGATTTTTTATTTGCCATGAACACAGGGAAATAAGTGCTTTGTGACAACGCACTTGCGAATGCCTGCCTGAACTCGGCAGACCGTATGGTGGCCGAATACTCTGCACTTGAACTTGTGGAATTGCCGTCGGCAATCCACAGAACATTGTGTGTTGAGGGGAAGCTGAACTGGCCTGAACTTGGCCTGCCCAAATTTCACCTCCTCTGCATTTTTGCGGGTGGGGAAACAAACGCGGCAGATTGTGGAGAAGACATCGCAGAAAACCCTAGGTGCTGCCCGTCTCTCCCCTCCAAGCATAGCATCCTAGGAGTCCCTCTTCTTTTTGGCAGAGGGGTTAGCGGATATGGACTTTGCAGCCGCTGCCGCAAATGACTGCTTTTCCCATGGCTTAGCGTTTGGAGCAGCGGGGGGCGGGCCGTCTGCTCTGTGCTGTGGGGTTTAGGCGGTCTGGACACATTAACAAATTTTTTGCCCTGCGTCGGAGGAATTGGCCCCATTCCCTGTCCCCGATACTCGCGAGATTCAGCCACAGCGATTGCTCGCCCGCAACAGCGAGAGCCATCGTTCGGCCGGAGCTTTGCATTGCCCTGCGTGAGGCGCGCAAATTGAGGTCTGTAATGTTGCAGATCTCTTCCCAGATCGACGGGTTTGGATTGCCGACGTCCAGCTGCGTGCCAAGCTCCTCCAATAATTTGGCTTAATAGGACGTCAGCAATGAAGTGACGTTCAAAGCCCTTACTGTCAGCGCCGAAGATTTTTATATCTTCTGGTACATGGAAGCAGTGAAGCGTTCCATTTTACCAGAGAGGGACGGTGTGGCAGATGAAAAAATAGCCAGCCCATTTGGATGCAGGTGAAGAGCCACCGTCTGCTCGACCACAGGAGGGTTAGAGAGCCCTAGCCCCTCCATCTCGCTCACGTCGAGTGACGAGTAACCCTTGACGGGCACGCGGTTGGTAAAGGGTGTATCCCATGACCGCTTCATCTCCGTGATGCAATCTGTTAAAGCGGGAAGTAGTTGTTTTGCTGGGGGAGTGCAGGGAGCGAACCTTTTCCCGTCATACACATCCCGTTTAACTCCTGGGTGACCAGGAGTAGTTACAGGCCACGCCACGCTGAGCTTGGTGGCAGCACGTTTGCAAAACTCTGTGAAGTCGCAATCCACTACGGTCGACGCCACCTCACCGCTTTGCGCGCTAGCCGTCCTGAATGCGTGGGAAGAAGGGTGGATGACATCGTCCAGGTCATTTCAGAGGGGACGGGCTAGCGTCTCATCATCCACCTCCTCATCCCCTTCCATCTCATCACCGCCCGACAGTAGCTGCTGGTCAAACAGTGGCATAGCCCGGGATTGCCTGGCAGTGCACGCAGCTTTCGGTGTTCGCCAACGAGGCCTGGGCATGCTTCACACCCATACATGCGATGCACATCAGATGTGAATCCCGGCCCGAGATCATAAATCTGCACGCTGACGGATAGAAGCGCGAAGAGGTCTCCTTCCCCTTCTCCACCGTGACTTTAGACATGGTGAGTCAAAATCACAGGTAGCTGCCTTAACGCATTAGCTATATCAGTCGTTGCTAGTAAAAGCAGTAAAAAATACTCCGTAACGAGCAAAGAACCCACGACAGATTTAATATGACTGAGCTGCGTTCAGCAACGTTAGCCTTGACGGTACGTTTGAGAACAGAGCAGCGCAGCCTGTGTGCTTAAGGAAAGTCTCATGAGGAAGAGTGCTAGAATGCCGATTCGGGGAATCACAGCGGATTATAAAGGAGAGGGTGGGCTTCTAATCGCGAGCTGTGATTTGTCAGTCCTCAGATGGATGTGGTGTAATTGGTGCTTCCATAGTCTGTCACGCCTGAGGCATTTCCCATAGAAAGATACCGAGCGAATGTTTGAAAGAGAACTACTGTATTTTCATTAACTAACATGAACAAATACAGTAGTAAATGTATTGTTCATTGTTTGTTCATGTTCGTAAATGCATTAATTAACATTAACGAATGAACCTTATTGTAAAGTGTGACCATACATATATATATATATATATATATATATATATAAATATATATATATATAAAGAGAGAGAGAGAGAGAGAGAGAGAGAGAAAGAAAGAGAAAGAAGAGTAGGTGAAGAATAGTGAATTGATAACCTTCAAAGGCAATAACTGTCATATCTGTTGAGCACTAAACAATCAGCTGTTTTAAAAAATGTTCCCAAATGTCAGCAGAAAACTGACATTTCTTAAATCTCAGATATTTTGAAGACCCCATTGCAAACTGTATATAAGATTAATACTTTCTTTTCTGTTTGTCTGTTAGTACGTTGAACTCCCATCTGTCATCTGACTCGTCTTTCGCATTGACTTCTGACTTTAAAGTTGTGAGGAGCCTGCAGCAGTGCACCTTTTCTAAAGACCCCATCAAGAAGGAATAGAGGCAGTGATGAGCACTCCTGACAAAATGTTTTAGGCCCCATTTACACTAAAACATTTTAGTTTTAACATGGCATTTTAGAATGAAACCACTGAAAACACACATCACGTGACCACACACACACAACCTCTGGCATGCTCTGCATTGATAAGAGACTGTTCATCAAGGATCTGCTCGACGTGTCCTCTGGAGTTTGTTTTTCCATATCAAACCTGCAAAGTCTGAACTTACAAGGAGAGTATCCAGGTCTGATCAGGGTTCCCGCGGGTCCTAAAAAGGTTTAAATGTCTTAAATTAAAATCTAGGAAATTAGGGTCTTAAATTGTCTTAAATTTTACCGTAAAGTGGCTGTAGGTATTAAATTTTCAGCCGGTGTGCTTAATGACGACAGGGAAGCACAGTGGTCTACAGTAAAACATCTAATAGTTGATTAATTTAGTATGTGTGAAACAGGAGAGAAATGACAGTCTCCGTGATTTATTAGCTTATTACTACAGAGTATAGACGCTGATGCACCTGCGTGCTGTCTTTACGCGGTTGTTGATGTGAGGTTCAAAATGCAAAGATGGGAAAATGTAAATTTAACGACATGGCAATGAAGCAATATGTAAATTCAGCAAAAAGACCTTTTCGTTAGGGATCATGGGGCTCAATGCTGTCGAGTCGCACATGAAAGGAGGAAAGCAGCCGCAGGACGTTGCAGCAGCTAGTCATAGCGGGTCCAGGTTAATCCTTGCATTGTTTGCAGCTCAACCTAACAATGCTACTAGTTCAGACTAGAGCTGAAGATCTTTGCTGGGTTCGGACTTTATTTCTATCATTTTAGACGGGGTCGTGCTGGGCTTGGGCTTGCGCAGTAAATGAACAGTCATGTGATGTATTTCGATTAGCGTGAGGAAGTAATCAAATAGTTTGTTACAACATTGAAATCCATCCATGCAAAAGTATCACAAATGATGACAGAGATGTCAAAAAGAGCGAATTTTGTCAGCAGTCAGGCCAGTCACCAGTTAAATTTGAACAGTCATTCTAGTCGCCAAAGTATATCGGCGGTCGCTTATATACTGCGTATTACGGTAGAGCACTAAGGAGCAGTGGCCAGCGAGCTGACAGGGAAGATGACGAGGTCACTTGCTGCATTGAAACCGCTGTCATGAAAAATTAAATGAATGTTCTTGACTGGTGGAAGATGAACAAACAATCCTACCCAAAACATGCTAAATTAGCCAGATCAGTAGTGTATCCTGGCCAGCAGCAGCAGCAGAGAAAGGGTGTTCAGTGCTGCTCAGTGAGCGAAGGACTGCACTTAAGTCATTAACAGTGGATTCAATAATGTTCCCCCACAAAAACACATAGCCTAATCTTGATGAGTAAATAATTTCAAATTATAACTAAATATTAATAAAGCCATCAATTCATAATGTAGTCAGAGTATACAGGCTAATGCTGGCATTATTCTTTTATTATTTAGCTTCACTATCGCCTTATTGTCAGGAGAAGTGGCAAAACAAATCCCACAGAGCCTTTATCTTAATTTCGTTATTACCAAATACCTGTCATCATTTATCATTCATTTCATTCATTTTCTTGTCGGCTTAGTCCCTATATTTATCCGGGGTTGCCACACCGGAATGAACCATCAACTTATCCTGCAAGTTTTTACGTAGCGGTTGCCCTTCCAGCCACAACCCATCTCTGGGAAACATCCACACACACATTCACACACACACTCATACACTACGGACAATTTAGCCTACCCAATTCACCTGTACCACATGTCTTTGGACTGTGGGGGAAACCGGAGCACCAAGAGGAAACCCACACAAGCGCAGGGAAAACATGCAAACTCCATACAGAAATGCCAACTGAGCCGAGGCTCGCACCAGCGACAAAGGGACCTTCTTGCTGTGAGGTGACAGCACTACCTACTGTGCCTTATTTTTATTGGTGCGTTGGCCAATTTAAAGGTTAAGTGTATGTACCCAGGCCTATTTAGAGTGTTGAGATGTTAAGATGTTACAGAGGGCTTATTTTATTTTTATGTTCCAACTTGGCCTGTAGTCTATGTTATGAATAAGGCAAGGCAAGGCAAGGCAAGTTTATTTATATAGCACATTTCATACACAATGGCAATTCAAAGTGCTTTACATAAACAAGAATAAAAGAAACAAGTAAAATAAAAATAAAAACAAATAATAAAAATGCGTAAAAACTAAACAAAACATAAAAACAGGTAAAATGTGATATAAAAGAATGAAGAAGAAGAGAAAAACATGATCTGTCGGACGCAGCACAGTGCTCATTCAGTAAAGGCACAGCTAAACAGATGTGTTTTTAGTCTTGATTTGAACATGCCTAATGTTGGAGCACATCTGATCATTTCTGGAAGCTGATTCCAGCAGCGAGGGGCATAGTGGCTGAAAGCTGATTCACCCTGCTTTGACTGAACTCTTGGAACTTCTAGTTTATATGATCCTAATGATCTGAGTGATCTGTTGGGTTTGTATTCAGTGAGCATATCTGTAATGTATTTAGGTCCTAGGCCATTTAGTGATTTATAGACCAGTAATAATACTTTAAAATCTATTCTGAATGTAACTGGCAGCCAGTGTAGAGACCTGAGGACAGGTGTGATGTGTTCTGATTTCCTGCTTCTGGTCAGAACTCTGGCTGCAGCGTTCTGGATGAGCTGTAACTGTCTGACTGTCTTTTTAGGAAGACCAGTGAGGAGTCCATTACAGTAATCCACCCTGCTGCTGATAAAAGCATGAACAAGTTTTTCTAAATCTTCACTAGAAACAAAGCATCTGATTCTTGCAATATCTTTGAGATGATAGTATGCTGATTTACTGACTGCTTTGACATGACTGTTGAAACTCAGATCTGACTCAAGAGTCACACCAAGATTCTTGACCTTATTTTTTGTCGTTTGACCTTTAGTGCCAAGGTACGCATTTACCTTGAGAACCTCATCTCTGTTTCCAAACACAATCATTTCAGTTTTCTCTTTGTTTAACTGAAGAAAGTTTTGGCACATCCAATTGCTCATTTCATCAATGCATTGGCAGAGGGTGTCAATGGGGCTGTAGTCATTAGGCAGTAAGGCTAGGTAGATCTGAGTGTCATCAGCATAGCTGTGGTAGGAGATTTGGTTCTTTCTCATTATTTGGCTCCGAGGGAGCATGTAAAGGTTGAACAGGAGAGGTGCCAGAATCGAGCCTTGTGGGACTCCACACGTCATGGGTGTCCACCTCGACCTATGGTCACCTATACTGACATGGTAACCTCTACCTTCAAGGTAAGATCTAAACCATTTGAGGACCGTGCCAGACAGCCCAACCCAGTTTTCCAGCCTATCCAGAAGTATGCTGTGATCGACAGTGTCAAATGCAGCACTGAGATCCAACAATACCAGCACTGTTATTTTACCTGAATCTGTATTTAGGCGTATATCATTGATTATCTTTATAAGAGCGCTCTCTGTACTGTGATGTGCTCTGAAACCAGATTGAAAATTGTCTAAACACCCCCTGAAGTTTAAGAACTTGTTAACCTGGTTAAAAACAACTTTTTCAATGATTTTGCCAATGAAAGGGAGATTTGAGATTGGCCTGTAATTGCTCAATAGGGTGTTATCCAGGTTGCTCTTCTTCAAGAGGGGTTTAACAACTGCAGTTTTAAGTGAGGTTGGAAAAATCCCTGAGAGAAGTGAAGCATTTACCACTTTTAGAAGATCCATTTCTAAACAGGTAAACACCGATTTGAAGAATGATGTGGGGAGCGTGTCAAGACTGCAGGTTGATGTTTTCATAACTTGCACAATTTCTTCTAAGATTTTGCCGTTAATTGCCATGAAATCAGACATAATGTCTGATTTCTTAAGTTGTGGTTGAGCTTGTTTGATATCGACACAACTTGACTGATTGGATGAGCTGATTGCCTTTCTGATATTATTAATCTTATCAGTGAAGAAATGAGCAAACTCATTACATTTGCTTTCAGAGAGGAGCTCACTTGGAATCCGACTGGGGGGGTTTGTGAGTCTCTCTATCGTTGCAAAGAGTGTGCGAGCATTATTTAAGTTGCTGTTTATAAGGCTTGAAAAGAAAGTCTGTCTAGCAGTGTTTAGTTCCATATTAAAGGCATGAAGACTGTCTTTATAGATATTATAATGGACTACTAGTTTCGTCTTTCTCCACATACGCTTTATGTGTTACTTACGCTTTATGTGTTACGCTTTATGTGTAACATTACTTATTCGGTTAACATTACGAATAAGTAATGTTAACGCATATAAACGACTCATTCATGAAAAAAAGATGAAAGAGCTATGTGCACGGGCATATTTGAATAATGTCGGGCTATAAACGGGTTCTGGCTTTTAAAAAGCTGTCAATCAAAATGTACTTGTCGGGTTCGGGCTTCATCGGGCCTAACTTTTATAGCCTGATTACAGCTCTAGTTCAGACGCCCTCTCACAGTCGGCTATAACAGTTTCATTTCACCACCAGACTCCCAAAAGGCAAGTACTGTGGGTTATCCATACTGTGACGAGGCACAATTTATTTAAATCTAACGAGAACATTAAAATGAGTAATTAAACTAAGAATGTTGTTCTGCCCAGTGGGACTTGTACTATTAGGACCTCTAGTGGTCTACTTTAGAATTGCAGTATGAAACAGGAAGTTTCAGAATATGTTTGTAGCACATGGTGGATATCGTTTTGCTGAAGTAATCTTAGTATTCTATACTCTCCATGGCAAGAACTGCTTGTATATTTCCTATGTATATTTGCTATGTTTCATTCCCTCGTACATGACTACATTTGACAAGAGTCTCTATTAAATGAAGCTAAAAAGCTATATCCTGAATCTCGTGTAATTTATGACAGGAGTTTGGCTGGCTGTCTAATTTTGGTTAAGAAGACCAATTAGAGGACAGTACAGTGAAAAAGCACTTTGATTGGAGAATCAGAGGATTGATTTTGTGCAAGGGATGAACAAGCATCATGAATGAACATAAGGACGACGATAAAGTTTCTAAGATAAGCGCTGGCAGCAGTCACACATCGGTATCAAAGGCTAGTGCATCAGCAAGAGCCTGTGCCAGGGCAGAAGCGGCGCGTGTTCGTGCATCCTTTGCTGAAAAAGAAGCCAAGATAAAAATTTAACAAGCAGAAAAGGCAGCTAAAGCACTCCTTGATAAAGCTAGACTTGACGCTGAGTTGAATGCTCTAACACTCCAAAGGGAGGTAGCAGCAGCTGTAGAACAGGCAGAAATATAAGAAGCAGCAGAAGAACAGTCAAAGATTTCAGATGACCGTAGCACTAAAAAATCTCTCAAAGAAGAATCTATACAGCGTACAAATGACTATGTTACACAGCAAGCTGAGTTAAAGAATTATCCAGTCGGTAATGACTCTTTATCCATAAAACAAGAAGAAAGTATGGTTACATGGGACAAGACAGTTGAATCATTTCCACGGATTCCTCATCCACAGATTCAGAGTAAACATTCAGACAAAAGCGATGTCCTGTCTGATTCCTACTTTTCACCACTCAAATTAAGTCCTGAATCCCCAGATATTGGAAACCAACGATCGTCACATCCTCAGTTTGGAGTTCATAACAGTTTGAATGCTACAGCTCCATCTTATGTTCCTCTTAACTATGCTTCTCAGGCTGAATCTGTTAAAGACCACACCATGATACAGCTTGTTAAGTTTCTTGCACGCCGCGAGTTAGTGACTACAGGGCTCTGTCAGTTTAATGACAAACCTTAAAGTTTCAGAGCATGGCAGTCCTTGTTTCTAAATGCTACAAAAGATCTGGACATATCACCTAGTGAGGAGTTATTAACTTATTAACTAAGTGGCTAGGAAAGGAATCAGGCCAGTATGTAAACCGGATACGTCTTATGCATGTGAATAATCCACAGATGGCTTTTAAGAAAGCCTGGGATAGGTTGATTGTTATGCTTCACCTGAGATAATTGAAGATGCCCTGTTCAAGAAACTGGATATGTTTTCTAAAATTTCCAGCAATGACTTTGTGAGATTAAGAGAGCTAGGAGATCTTCTCATGGAAATCTTATCAGTGAAGCAAGATGGATACTTGCCTGGGTTGTTCTTTTTGGATACAGCTCGAGGCATTAGTCCTATAGTAGCTAAACTTCCACATTCACTTCAAGAGAAATGGGTAGCCCAATGATCCAAATTTAAAACACAACACAAAGGCCTTTTCCCCCCTTTTGCATTCTTTGCTGAGTTTATTTGCTATAAGGCACGCTTCAGAAATGATCCTAGATTCTCACTTATCCGTTCCAATGATATCTGCTCAAAGGAAAGACAGATTCCCAGAATGACAAGAGGTATACTGTCAGCACATAAAACTGATGTTTCAGGAGACAAAAGAGCAGAGAACTTAGGAAAGCACTGTCCGATACATAACAAAACACATTCTTTGGAAAAGTGTCGTGCATTTAGAGCCAAATCTATTGAGGAGAGGAAATCTTTCCTCCGTGAAAATGGAATATGCTATAAATGTTGCAAATCCATGACTCATCTGGCCAAAGATTGCAAGATAAC